ATAAGCCAGTTTAGACTACAAAGGAAGAAGAAAACACCTCAGTCTATCCTAAAAATACATTTTTAGTATCACCACAGCATAAGACTTTTCCCATTTGTCTGCACACAACACCTAGTTCAACACATGCTCTATAAAAATAAAGGCATTTTTGTAATGCACCATCTTCAGTGCCCCTATTACAATTAGGAAGGTTTTTCAATTACAACTGTATTACATCATCTACCAAAACACAGGTTTGCATCTTTGTACTTGGCATCCCTTAAGCAAACTCGTAAGTCTATAGCAGCTTGACCAAGGAAGAACTCCATAAAGAAGTCATGATCTGGCATGCTTATTTTAAATAAAGTACTGTTGTATTATTTACTGTCTTCTAGAGAATTTCCAAGCTAAACCAAAGCCCACAGGTGAAACATCAGCCTCGCTTCTGTGTTAATTTCTTGCGCTTCTTGCTAAACCAAGGATGGGATCTAAATCAGTTTTAGGCAAAGAAAAAACAGCCGTAACAGCCAATGAGGAGAGAAACACATGAAGAATGAGGGGGAGAAGAGATTCATTCCATCCAGGCAAATTACTTAGAACATTTCAAAGATGATGTGGTTAAAATATGCTTTCAGAGGACGTGATTTATTTCTTGAGCACAACATCCACATATATTTTACCATACAGCTTAAGAACACACACACCCACAGAGTACTGGTGCATACTGGAAACCAAACATACCCCAAAGATGCATTCCTAGTTGGCTAGAAGAACAATGTGAGTTCACAAGGGTTTACTATGCATAAGGCATTCAGCTAGAACAATTCCATCCTCAATTTCCCATATGCTACTTACATTTTCTCATCACACACACACATGAATACAGTATTTAGGGTCTTCAACATGAAAGACCCATGCTGAGCTGCGGTGACTTTTTGTTACACTCTTGCCTTTATTATTTATGCATCATTTATCAAAGAAAGTTATTCTTCTTTAAACACTAACACCAAAGTAATGCAGGATCAGCAGCGGTGACATAGGCTGGGTTTAGTACAGAAAACTCCCTTGAGAGAACCTCAGAGCAGCCTTCCCAAACTCCAACCAAGCCTCTTAACTTCTGTGAAGCATTCAAACTACACAACTTTTCTTATCGAGCCTGAAGAAATTTTACTGCATCTGCCTCAAGAATTTTAAGAGGTGGAAAACTGACAGCGTGCAGCATAACTGGAGCCAGTATCTAATATCCTGTCTCATGGGGGAACTAATTCTGAAGGCTATTTAATTCCTTGTTCAAGGAAAATTCCCACTGAAGTCAATGAGACCGTGCGGAGTGATTTTAGCATGGTAACATAAAACAGTACAATAGCAGCTAGTCCTCAACATAAAAGGCTGAAAATATCAAAAACCTCACCTGGGTTCAGATTTCATTTTCATTAGAAATAAAGCAAGTTTTAAAACAGTTCTGGAGGTACGTCAAACTTTAAAGCAATCAATCCTAGGTTTATTTCCACAAGCGGTCACCAAAGCCAGCACAGAGGTTTGCACAAAAAGAATTTTGAGGAGAATTAATGGCTTCTGCTTCCTCCAGTTGTTTTGAGCAAACTGCACTTTGTTAGGGGAGATCAAAGGAACCAAAACAACCATCAGAGGAGTTGCTATCATCTGTCAGCACCCAGATGAGCATCCCAGAGGCAATGTGAAACGTTTCAAAGAAGAGCGAAGACACTGGGCAGTCCAGTGACACTTGAAGGCATGGGCTGCCAGAGATTCTGCTTCATTTCATGACCAAGCTGGAATAGTTACAAGCATGGCACAAGCCTCCCACGTCATCTAACAGACTATTTCTCTTTCAGAAACCTTGCAGGAGATAACTGGGAATAGCTTGTTCAAGGAATATTCATCTAAAACCCCAGCACTTAAGCAGTTGGCTTACATGCAAAGCATGAAAATGTTCCCTCTTCAAGTAATCCCTCCTTTACCATAGTGTTTAGTTACAGGACAACTGTTGGCACTACATCATTACAAGCTGCATACAGAGTATTTCTTGGAGTTTGTTGCTTGGTTGTTTGGAGGGTTACTGGCACTGGTATCCGCTTTATTGGCAGCTAACATTCCTGAAATACCACTACTCATTCCTACTTTACTTTCTAGAAAGAACCCTTTCTTTCACATAGCTATCAGCTCTTTCCTCAGTAGCTGTTCTCAAACTCTCCTGCCTTTTCAGAAATTTTCTCCTCCATGCCATTAGATGCTCTTGAGGCCACCTGAGTATTGCATTCCCAAAGGACAGACTGGAAGATGCAATACAAAGGTACTGGGAAATTTCCTTTATTCTTTATCCTATTCTTACTGTGTCCTCATTTTTCACCTGCTTTGTTTTGGAGTCTGATGCAGTTACTCCAAGGGAGTGAGGAATACACACACAAAAACTTCATAACCACTTAAAAAAAATACTTTCTGACACCCACAAGTCATTACCCCTGCCTTTACCCTCTAGCCATTTTCTGAGTAAAGCTCCACTGATGCACAGCTTAGCCGATGCAGGATTCTGACCCTGGAACAGCTATTTATCTTTCCTTGTTTCCGAGGTTTTAGACAGTAACTGACCCATAACACTACTTTGTTCCTCTTACTAGGACTACTGGCATCAGTAACACTTCACTTTGCCAGAGGAACCAGACTTGAAGTCTTCCAGCCTGAGTGACCACAGCATCAGCAGCCATCTACTGCACCCAGAGCAGCGCGTCAGCGTTCAGACACCAGCATTAGCACAGCCATAGAAATCCCCAGCAAAGCCAGCCAGCTCTGCAGAGTTCTTAAAGCAGCTGCACACTGCTGCTCCACTTCTACAGCACAGCACCTCTGTGCATCACGCTGTGGCCCCATGAAACATCCATGTAACTGCATCAGATGCTCCATCCCTGGCAGTGTTCAAGGCCAGGCTGGACAGAGTTTGAAGCAACCTGGTCTAGTGGAAGGTGTCCCTGCCTGTTGCAGGGGGCTGAAACTGGATGAACTTTAAGGCCTCTTCCAACCCAAACCATTCTATGATCCCTTTCCAATGCCAAAGCAGCAGCACCTGACTTGCCTTGGTAAGGAGCAACACTCTTCCTCCTACACATTACTCTTCCACTCATTAAGTTTCCCTAGAAGCATGGAAAAGCCTCACTTGCTCATTACAACAGACTCTGTGGGGTGCTAAACACCAGCATGACTCGAAACAGCTTTGTTTTCTGACATCAAAACAATAGGCATTTCTGTCTTCTTCTCATGAAAGAGGAAAATAAGGATCATTATTTTAAGAATGTATTTTAGTAGCTTCATGCCTTCAGAAGCCAGCAGAGCAGCCCTGGGTAACACTCTGGAGAACATCCCACCCCGATTCCTGCTGGTTTCCTCAAAGACGGGATCACATCACAACCTTATTCCCCAGGCACATTTTGTCACATCAGCTGCATTCCTCTTCGTAACATCAGTTATTTTGCTCAGCAACAACCAAGTTGAAGTAAAAGCCTGGGGCAGGACATTTGGCTCCATTTCTCTATTCATCAGTGTAAATAATTACTACTGAACCTGCAATGAAATAGCATATCTCTATTCTATTACTAGAAGAGTAAAACACCAGCCTGACTCCTCAGCATCCTCAAATATTTTCTGGAATATCAGCTCCTCTATATTTAAGTGTCTTACCTGCACTAATGTCAGCTATGCTACTGCAAAATCCATTAATTCAGGCAAAGACAATAATTAAAACCAGGAAAGGCAGAGCTGAACTTTTTGTACAGTCAGAGCACAGCAAAGCTGACCGTATTCCTAGGAATTGAGGGCTTGTGGTATGCATGAGCTGTAGCGACTGATCAACTCGAAAAAGATAATTGGTTCAGGGAACAAAGGGGTTTCTTAGTTCAGATGTACAACAGCAGAAAAGAGTTAACGCTGGAACTTCTGAGGAACCATTATAAATCTGAGAAATGTCACCACTTCTTCACAATCTGTGAAAAAGTCCCTTCCTTTTGCTTCTGAGGCCACATTACGCTTCAGCAGGCATCAAAAACTTGAAAGTAATGGAATTGGATCAACATCACAGCTCTTTCAGGAAGCTTTGCTTTTTGCCTCTGAGAAATTTATCTTTTTGGCAAAACAGTACTTTAAATAAAGCACCCATCTCACTGAGACTCAGCACATCACAGTCAGTGATATAAAAAGTCCATCTGTCCTCATCAAAATATCCATTTTTGAAAGGGAGGGAAGACAAAGACCATTTCCATCTCACCTACTGGTTAATCCTCAAGTCTTAGAAGAGACCTTTGGCATCTGCATACACGTATTCAGCAAAGGGTTTTCTTAGCCAAGCTAAGAGCTACCCAGTTACTTCACAGATATTTTGCTTAGGTACTATATTTAATTTGTATTGAGGATCACAACAAACAGGTAAAGACTAGAGATACACCCAAGTTTTAACAAAGCCCTCATTGTAGGTACTCCAATACAATGAGAATGCAGCATCTAAATAGAACTGCAATGTGGGGAACATCCTCCAGTGACAGCAGACTCGAGGCTCCAGCAAGCTATGAGTTTTCACAAACTGCAGCTGGCAGAAGGGGCAGCTTTATGTCCTGGGAAACATTTCCAATACACAGTGTACAAGGTACACAAGTAACAAATTCCTGTCCTAAACCCTGTGCCATTAATCAAGCCTTGCAATGACTCCACCAGATGGTTACCCTGCAGCATCTAACATCTATAAACTCAAAAGACTTTTAATTCCCAGAGTGGAAATACCCTGAATGTTCAGTATGTAACATTTGTGATTATTTGGCTTTGCTACAACACATCTCAAGGAAGCATCAATCAGGACACCCATAAACTTCTGTGAAGCTGCAGTCTAACTACAATTTTCGTAAAGGAGTAACTCCAAACACGAGAGGAAAAACAAAGTAAGACCTCAGCACTAACCTCCAACAGGCTTAAGTTCTCATGAACTGCTGCTACAGATGAGGAGTAGAGTAAAGCAAGTTTACCTGTCTCTGGAACAGCATCTTCTGGAACAGTGAGGAGTAAGACTGAAGGCAAGAGATCCCACATGAATTGGCAGGAAGAGCGCACACACTGGGCAGCAGGTCCATAATCTCTTTCACTTTACAGCAGCCTCCTCTTCCATTCATTTCCTGCTACTTCAGATCAGCTGCAAGTTTTATCTCCAAGATTTTTTTTTTAAATAAAAGTTCATGGAAAAGTTTTCTCCTTGCAGAGGTTTAGCACTTGCTTCTTCCAGACCAGCTGACCTGTTTGACTGTTTTTCCCAAGGTGATCTTTAAATGGCTAGAGCCACACACCAATCCATCAAACCGATGCCGACTTTTCTTCTCTACCCAGAAGTCCAGAGCACCCAAGATTTTCCAAGCCCGGAAGTCAGTTTTGTCTCAAGTATTTGCAGATTTTCTAACGACAACTGTGTTAATGCTGCAGGATGAAAGGATCACCACTCCTTGCTACTGTTAACACCTTGCAGGAATTGATAGGGTTGACTCAAAAATCTCTCCTGGGACTCCCAGGTCAGAGGCTCTTGCTCAAATAGCCAAGAGCCGATTATTTTGTTCTGCAACCTTTGTCCATCCATCACACCTTTCATCAAAGCCGCAGGAGAGCTCTGAAGAGTGAAACAGACTGTTTATCTAACGGCTGCTGTTCCACCTTTATCCTTCTCCAAGCAGGATCCAGGAATGTCACAGATTCTGTGAATAATCTCATGTATTAAAGGTACATCTGCCTGTGGGAAAGGAAAAAGAAAAAAGTGTCTGATGTCAGAAGAGACTTGCATCATTGCTGTAAAATTATCCAGTAGTAGTTTATCTTGTCAGTGGTAGCAACTGATGGGCTGAGAGAGTTGGGTTTCCTCAGCCTGGAGAAGAGAAGGCCCAGAGAAGCTGTGGCTGCCCCATCCCTGGCAATGTTCAAGGCCAGGCTGGACAGGGCTTGGAGCAACCTGCTCTAGTGGAAGGTGTCCCTGCCAGTGGCAGGGGGTTGGAAACTGGATGAGCTTTAGGGTCGTTTCCAACCCAAACCAGCCTGTGATTCTATGATAATCTGTAGCCAAACCACCCCAGGAAAGATGCAACTACCAGCAATACAGTGACAGTGACCCAGGTAGAAGAGTTTAGGTTACACACAAAAATGCTCTCACAGCTTGCTATCTAGTCTGAGCCAGGTCATAGAACTGACTCAGACGTGCAACTCCTACTCTCAGATAATTAAGACGCTCAAACAGGAGGAATACACGTAAGAAACCATCAAACCTGGTTTGTCGCCTCAAGATCTTTCAGTACTAATACTCTTTCATATTCTTTTTTTCTTAAGCTAGTCATCCATGGATAAGACCAAAAAGTGGCAAACCTCTCAGAGCTGTATTTGTCATTTTAACAGGACAGATCACTATCAGATCCCCTGGCTTAAGTGATGCTAAAATTTCTGGAATATTTTATTTCATAGTCCGTATAGTCAGTGCTTCTTTTGATTTCCTAACTATTTGCAGCCAAGGAAAAAGCTGTATTACAATGCTAATCAGAAAATAAAGACACATTTAAATATTGCTTTGCAAGAAGTTAACTTTTTGGTTTATGGAATGAATAATTAGGAAGATGGAGGCAGAGTTGAGTCCATCTCCGTGTGGTACAGCAGTTTTGAGCTGCTACTATAAACTTCTTTCATATCAGCAAGTCATTTGCGCAGCCCATGAATTGCTTTAGGTAGCTGGGCACACAGACCTGACTGAAATTTACACTAAAAAGGGCTATTAATAAATCATTCTTCTCACCGTTTAAATTTATATAAGGATTTCTGTTCCATAATTTCAGGGTCCTTCAAGCACAGATTGTCACAGCTGAACTGTCAAATTACTATATTCATATAACAGCCCCCCCATTGATATGAAAGGGGGTATCACTGCAATTATTTTATCTAAATCAGCTAATAATATGTGGCAGAACTAGACAGAGAACATTCTGGATGCCAGTAGACCAGCTTCACACAGGGAAAGACTATCCTTTCTGTAGGTATGCAGCTCATAAAGCACTGTAAAGAGACACCTAAAGAAAGTTAAAGAGTTACCTACAGCCCACCCCAGTTTGTACAGAGAAATAACAAGCCGCTTTGTTTATTCCTTTTATACCTCCTAGTTAGATGTTTTGGTTTTAAATATCAGATACAGATCCACTGTGTCAGGAGACTGAAATGTGAAAGTGATAAATGAAGCAGAAAGCTCATGGCAGAGATTAAACTCTTACTCATTACATGGAGACACAAATGGATTTCCCAGACTTCTAAAATTCTTCAAAAAGAACAACCTAGGAATTTCATATGTTCCTGAACACCTACAAGAGGGCAGCAATACAGCTGACAATACCAAAACTGAAAGAGAACGTCTCTCCATAGTTAACTTATGTACATGCCATATTAGATAGCTATTGCGGAAAAGACATTAAGTGCCTGAAATCCCATTGGAAATTATGTCAACATTGAAATAATTCCTTCCACTGTCAGAGTTTTGCCATGCATTTCAATCAAATTGTTCCATCGATAAAGTACTGTACATGAAACATTGCCCTGTCACTTTGCAACTAAGCCTGAACAAGTATTTATGGAGTAGCTTATATTTTTAGCTGGTAAAGAAACTCCACAAATAAACCACATTGAAAGCTACATGGCATTTAAAACACAACATTTATGCTGTATGTAGAAACTGTGTTCACTCTTAAGTGACTACAACCGTCATAAGATTTGCTTCTGTTCTATGGAAGTTTTCTGTATGAAGAGAGTGTTGGGCACAACAAATTACCCTACAATCACTCTGGGAGTCTTTGCAAGCAATGGCAAACCCAGTAGTTTAAGGGGATTATTTGAAAAGCATCTACGTAAAACATTTATTTTAATGCAGAATTGGCTTCATTCTTCATCCTAAATAACCAGTTATGTCACGACTGACCAGCAATCAAAACTCCAAGCATTAAAAGTATGTGAACATTGAAACATTGAGATCAAAGCACACACACACTTTACCACCCTGGCACTGTTCATGGCCAGGTTGGATGGGGCTTGGAGCAACCTGCTCTAGTGGAAGGTGTCCCTGCCTGTGGCAGGGGGCTGGAACTGGAAGAGCTCTAAGGTCCCTTCCAGCCCAAACCAGTCTGGGATTCCATGATCTTTGGCATGTACTATGTACACTTTTTACCTTACTGACCTGGCACCACAAGATAACCTCCTTACTGACTTTCTCAGTTAAAGCAATGGGAATGCTGAGGCAAGAAACACATCAAATACTTAAGTGAAGGATCTGACTCTAGTTTTTCAGCCTTTTCACATTATGTAGACACTAAATATAACACAACAGTATAGAATACAGATTTTTACGTTTCAAATAAAGCATAAAGCTTTCTGGTTTGACTGAAGAACCACATGAAGCCTCCAAAATTTGTATGGAAAGAATGACTTCCTTGACAATTCACAAGTAAATTAACTTATGAATCAGAATGGTTAAACTGATCCTTCAGGAAACACAGGTACACAGAGTATCACATTAGATGTCACTTCTCCAAACAACCTACATACAGCAAGACATGTGAATCAGAGTATCTGGGGGGGGGGGGAGGCTTAATACAAGTTTTATTTTTCTTTATCCCTCATAAAGAGCTTAGCAGTCTATACAGAATCCACAGAATGATCGCCAGTCTCCAACAGCAATCGCAGAGTTTTCATCTTTCAGAAGGGATGTCATCTTATTTCCATAACCGATTTGAGGTCACAAACTCCCACAGGAGAAGTAGCTATGCTGTATCATTCATACGGTACCAGTCACCAACAGGGGAGGGCCCCACAGCTTTCCCAGGAATTCCTTGGCTTCATTCCTTGAAATGGTAAGAGGTAGTCTACTATCCTAAAGGCTTGGTAAAGCCAGATGTGCTAATTCTGGGGGATTAGCACCTTGGGTCCATAACTCGTATCAGGTTAACCACAAAACCATGGTTAAAATCACGGTTAATCACAAAACCATGGTTAAAATCACAGTTAATCACAAAACCATGCTCAGAAGATACTAGCATCCTGCCACTATCACTCTACACATCACACCTTTAGCCAGCAGATGTGCTAATGAAGCTACAGACCTTTCAGACTTAGAAGCACCTGCCTCTTCTTGCATAGTTGATCATATCCCTAATATTCCTGAAGATATCTGTATCTCCTGGGACAGAGCACACACCATGGTAACAAAAAGGCTCACGCTTCCTCAGTTCCTTAGTAAAAGGACAGTAAAACTCACCTTCCTTCTTAATGCTGCTCCAAAGCTACAGGTGAATTTGTGCAGGGCATACTCAAACAGTATTTTCAGTGTCTTAGTTTTATTTAAGAGATACTCCCCAGGACCCAAAAGGCACATACCTGCACAGAAGCACTAGAACCAAAAATACCTACAGTCTTAGAACATCAGGGTTTCAGATGAGCAAAGCAAATGCTGATGCATGCGTGTGTAATGGAGAAACAACTTTTAGTAGTCTTTCTCCAAAATATTTGGCAAATACTTATCATATTTAAATTGTGAATAAGCTTAAGTAAATTGGAGAGACACCTGGAAAATTTCAACCTTGAAGCTTAAACGGTCACAATGTTACAGCTAACAAACTAGCAGAGCAAGACAGAGCTGCTTATGTGGTTTCAACAGAGGCAGTTGCCACCACAACCGAGGCAGTTACCACCACAACCTAAGTGTCATTTTAATACACAGAGTCAAAATCTTGTTCATACTGAAGTCAGTTTAAGTTTAGTTCCACTTGCTGACAAATAGCTATGAAACAGGAAACACAGCATGCCCAACTGAGCTTAATTCAGCCATTCCTAAGCTACAAAACACCCAATAGGTATCTGGATAGATACCAAACATATGTGACATGAATTCTGAGATTCCCTTCATCAATGACAAAAATATAACTTAATGGCATTTAGGTCATACAGGCTATCTGCTGGAATTAAATAAAGGGTGACAGGACAGTTCATTATCCCTTATACTTTCAGCTATTCAGTTTCCAAACCAGGAACTGAGATACTGAATTTCAAAACCATTCAGAAGTCATAGGGGAACAATTCATTGCCCGGTTAGGACATTGGAGAAGAGACAACACTAGGTTCAGTCAAATGGGAAAATAACAACATTGGTGCTGGCTTTGGATGGTATTTCTGGGATTGTCACTTAGTATGTATGATTTGTGTACAGACACAGGACTAGTGACAGGGAGTGCTCCATGTCACATGCCACAGACCCAAACCATCCATCTCTCCCTGCCTCTCCACC